GAGAGATGGGCTGTCATTCTTCACTGATCCCTAACTACCGTAATAATGCTTCAAGTGTGTTGCTGATTTAGTAAGATAGGTATAAACATAAATGGGAAAGCACAGTTGGTATGTCTTTTCATTTCTTTATTATTGATTCGACTTTGTAGACCAATATATATCAGAGACTTCTCTGTATCGATTGAGCGAATGCATTGTTTCAAGGAAATTTGACAAAACTATTTTCTCCGAGCTGATGCGCAATACAAAAAGTCAGTCTCCATCAACTATTGTTAGTGTCCAGACAAATTACTCAGACTGGCACAGTCGTCCATTGGCCGCGGGTTTGTCCCGACCCGACCCGTCCCGGTCCGACCCGTCCCGTCGCCACCGAGCTGCCGTCAGCGGCGGTGGCGAGGTGGGCCTAATATCCGGCCTCTAGCCGCGCGGCCGGGGATTTATGTGGACGATGTTGCACCTATAGCACCGCCGCGTCATAGCAAATTCCATATTGATCTCAATTGGGCCATGGGACGATCCAAAAATTTCATTTCGATGGTAATAGTGGATCGTTTCGTCCCATATGCCGCCGTCGTATTTTATGCGACGACCAGTAATTCGTCCTAATTGAAAAATAACCCAAATACACCGGGCTAGTTCAGGCAAGACAACGACGAAAACATATTTGAAGGACATTAGGTCGGCATTGAAAGCCATATTATTGATATTAAAGAGTTACAGCAACTCAGAGCAATGGCCTCCAGCTATGTTTTTACCACTTTCTCGAGAAGATTTTTACCTTGCATTCATAAATCGATGATGCTCCTTATTTAAACTCGGACGGACAAAACGATAGCTTTAGATGTGATTCATATGTTTCAAATGTGATGACGAGGCTCCGGAAGTTAAATTCAGAACAGCTCGCAAGAATATTGAAATTTATATTTCTGTCTGCGCAGCCTTTCAGGTATTTTTGTTTTCAGTTGTGCTCAAATACATAGTGAAGCTGACATAAATCTTTATTAAAAAGCGGAATTTGGTTGAGTAGTAAGAAAACCTTGGGAAAGCCTTAAGAAACGTAATATAAAATTAACGCCAAAAATGGAATATTGATGAGGGTCTCCAATGGAGCATCCTTATCCAATATGTCCATGACACCTTTTCACGCAGTGTTTGCGGATCAGGCGGATCCATTTGTATTTAGAACTCGTTTACGGTCTCCCTCCCCCTCCCGCTCTCCGTCTCGCGCTTCGGCCACATCCGGCCGTCCGTGACACACCGGTCGTCGTTCCCGACACGGGCTGTCGACGCCGACGAGCCCAAACGTACGTCCGCCGGGCACGGACGGAGCGACGGCGAGGTGTCGTTCCGACGAGCCACCATCAGTCGCAACGAGCCGGCGGTGGCCGGTGACGGCACGGTCCGTCCCCGCCCCCGTCCCCGTCCCTGACCCCGGACCCGACGCGACAACGACCTGAGACGGAGTCTGGGGGCGTCGGAGGCTCTTCAGTAGCTCTGGCTAATGAAGGCATGTGTAGGGCTAGCCCAAATTGGAACTAAGAAGGCGTGGTGCGACGATTTGCTTCATTTTGACTCCCACCTGCTAATTACATTCCTAAAGTGCAAAGACAAACGCGGTCTTGCAGTTTTACACCACTAAAGTATAGCCAGTTCTATTTCTTGAACACATGCTATCATCCATAGTAAAGTCACTCACATTTATATCTGACCATTTATGAAAATCAACACGATGAAAAGTCACAGTAACTAAGAAAAGATATGTGTGCAATGTGCATGCCAAAATGTTAGAAGAGGTAGGTCTCATGCTCTTTCACCTTCCTAGTTTCTTCATTATGGACGTTCACCAGCCGCGTTCGCTGTCATCATTGCCTCATCAAACATCAGTCCCGCGACAAGATTGGATAAGTTTGGACGTGTTCGACACGCCTCACATCCGCTGTCGGTGCTCCTTGACGTCACTTCATTGGCCGTGATCGGTGCGTCCAGGGCTCATTATTCTATATGCTTTTGTACACATAAGAAACAATGACGCATTCGAGCATTTAAGTCCGTTAAAAGAGGCGAAAGGTGGCACCGTTGGCAAAAAGATAGCTAGAAAACTGTAGCCATGGATGGATATGACATAACTGGACTTTTGACCCGCACTCACCATATGTCGCTATCTTCCTTTCCGCCTGACTTCAACCCTTGTCCAGTTTCTATGCCCAAAGGAGCAGAGGCAGAGTCTCAAACTCCCAGTCCACTCACTGGCGACTCATACTCGCCAGAAACGCCTCTAAATAATAATGAGGAGCCACCGTGTCCTGTGGACGACGTTCTCTTGACAGACGAGACCAGTGCGCAGTCCCCGAAAGGTTAACACATGTGTCGACACAGCACGAACTTTGCGAGGCTTCGGGAAGCCACACAGCGATGTGAACCGGGCTAGCACTTGTAACGAGCGAGTAACTCTCCCAAGGACACGTTTTTATGTCTAATGAATTGGGTGACCACGAATATGTTCTGAAAGGAATTCTACATAAAGTTCCTAAATAAAGCATTTCCACCCATATTTATTTGCTTTTAGATATACCCCATCAAGCCAGTTGCAAGAGTAACGACAAAACGCAAGCATACTTACTGTAATTAGGGCACAGCGGCCTGTTTTTATCAATTTCTACCACAGCGACACTAGGAAAACTTGTAACCATACTTGCACCTACCAAAACGATTTTCTAGTCGGCAGAGTTCAGTTCATGCTAGTTTGCAACGTTGCACCCCAGCCAGCAGTTGTAAATTATCTCATCGTACCGAAACCAATGCATGTCTCTCGCGGCTTGCCATATGGATCACTTCAGGCACACTGCCTGGCATTCAATGAATTGGCGCCGAGAACGTAATGCCATTGGGATTCTCATGACGCCGGCCTATCAGGGCGATATTGGGGCTGTGCCGACCGATGGCGACAAATGCTGCGCTGTTTCGCGGGCCGTTGCGGATTTTCTGAAGCCGAATCACAGCCAGAAGTAATGATGGAGCGCCAGCGATGAGCCCCGCGGCGATTGCCGATGGTGCTGCCCGTGACACAAACCGGTAGCGGTTACCAGTCGCTGAGACATGTTATGATGCCCAATAGTGTGATAGGATGCCTCCCGAGAATATGCTGTTGTAACCGTTTACCGTTCCACAGTGCACCCTCGACAATAAGCTTACAGAGATAACATCCTTTCAAAGTTAATTACGCTACGCAACATTCGCCTTTGTTCGCATACTGCAGTATGCGACCTCATGAGGTCCGAGTGCACCTTAATTGCGTCGAGTAACGTTGATGGATGCAGGAAGTTGTCAATAATAAACTAAAACTTTGGCATCATTTTTTTCAATCCAACGGCTTCATAATGTAAAATAGCTTATTGTTTGTGAATTTCAAAAGCAATTTTTGTGGTTGACGGCATGGAATAGATACCATTTATTATCATTAAAAGCATTTCATTTGGTTTTCAAGTCATATATTTAAATGAAAGTGTGACGTAGTTCACAGCACTATTGAACCAGGTTAATCCGCTTCAAACGATGCCATTATCACTTTCCAGCCGTAAATATGTCGTGATGGCACCCACGCCTTATCACAATCTGCATATATGACCCTATTACATAAATACGCAGCGTGACGAGCTTATTAATCCAACGATGATAGAACTCTAAAAATACCCAGAAAGATAAAATCAGCCAACGCAATGTCATCGACCAGTCTAACTAGGGCTCTAAAAGTGACGGAACATGTGAACCGGGAACCGGACGGAACGGCATCTGACCCGCATGAATTTTGTAGTGTCAATCAGCGTCGAGAGCAAACGTTTCGGTCAAGTTGGTAGAACTGTGGACCCCGCTCCGGTGCTAAAACAGAGATGGGCGACGGGAACCACGGCAACGCGGTTGCGAAAGGTTTTGACTTTTCACGGATAGGCTAGATGTCCAGGCTTTGCTAGTGCTTGTCTTTACAGACTCAATATTGCACTGAATGTTGATATAGTCGCTCTGATGAATCGTACAGCAAACATTGTAAATGTGAGAGTTGAAGATTGCTGCTTTTGGCAGCTAGTCAGAATAGGTATACCTAACCAATATCCATATTTTACAGGTGCGCAGCAAATTTAGCCGGTAGCTACCGTCGAAAGCTCAAAGTCAAATGATACCTTTGTCACCTGTTACAGAAACGGGAATGGATACAAAAGTATTGACATAACGCTTCGATTGGATCAACTAAACCACAAGAATGCCATCATTTAATGCATCTGAAGTAGCATGGGAACGGCGTGACTGGAGGCAAAATGTGGCCACCTCTCGAAAATGTCCGAGGGTCTGCTGGAGTCAGGGTGCCCTCCCAACGGCCACCGTCCCGGTACCTTTTCCGTGAACAGTCACTTGACGATTTCCGAATCAGCATAATTCCCTATGAAAGAAGCTGAGTTATGCGGCGTGTTGAACTGATCCCAAAAGACAGCTGTGTGGAAAAGTTAACAAAAAAGTGTACGCAATACGTACCCTAGCACTTAGCGCCAATTTACATTATCAGAAACGTCCAAACGCACCTAACTAAGCTACTTTGAATCACATGAGCCGTCTGGTCGATCTCCTAATCATAACAGCTCTAGCACTAGCACTAACGACCCTACCTATCACTTAGACCTAGTTCTCTTATCGTGGTGACCCTCTTATACCTCAAACTTGCTCCCCGGAGCCAATGACCAGACCACAGCGGGCCTCAACGACAGAAAGTTGGCCACCGAACCTGATGCAGCCCTACAAAGAGCCACTTCGATAGCCTCATCTAACCAAAGTTGGTCCGGACCGGGCATGTCACGTACTAAGCCGGTCGGCGAGCCTTTGGTCCGAAAGGCCACGCGAACGGACGCTTGAAGGGCCACTCGACACGTCTCAAAGAACTTGTTCGGTAACTCCCCGCGAAGTTTCCGGGGACGGTGCGACGGTGAGAGATCAGGATGCAAACTGTCACTCACCGTTATCCGTGATGCCACCGACGCCGATGACTGAGATGACGAGCACGTGTAGAACAGCCAGGCTGCGGCGAGGGAGACCCGGTGCAGATTGCTTCATGGTTCCGTCTTCGTTTTGACGTCTAGCCTTCGGCTCTAGGTCAATCAATCAGTCAATCTCCTGAGCCTAGCCTGGTCCAGAAAAAGTATGTAACCGTAAACCTGGTCACCCTACCTTGCCAGCCATCTGACACTTCCTACTCATGTCCAAAACACGTGGTCCGGAGCAAACTGCCCTCGCCGAACAATCCAAAAGTCTCAGCCACTATAAAGACCTGCGCTTGTCGGTCTTCAAACTCCAGTCTCCTCTGGATACCTGGGATGACTGCGGCAGGTCACAGCGGGTCCACCTGATTGCGCCCGGGATGACCCGTCTTGCCGGGGGCGGTCGCGGCCGCTGCGGGCGCAACACTGCCTGGAGGCAAACCAGCCAACCAGCCCGAGCGGCTGGATAGTTCCGTCCGCGGCCACTGGGCGGCGGCAGCACAGTCGGCGGCGGTGCTAGAATTCGGTATGTTCCGGGCGCGTACTTAGGACTAACTACACCGTTATTAGCTGGAAGATGCTCAGAAATGAGAGGATGAAAGCCGGCTGCCTCAGAGCGAGTGGTTGGTGGAGAGCCGACTGAGGCTATCATCCGGGATAAAGGACACATTAGCCGATATCCACAGGCGCGTGACTAGGTTAGCTATCGCGATTGGGATCAGTGGGCAGTTTTGGTTGATCGCAGACTTCAGTGGTGCTGCTTTACCGCTCGCATTACATTTGCGTTAAAAATTGGAGAATATGAAAAATAGGCAAACTGAGGAAAGACAGTGAAGGGAATTGATTAGCAGAAAGGAGGATTGGTAGGCTATTTTATTGGCCCGCGGAGGCAAATAATGTACCTAACATATGGCAGAAAATATATGTAGAACCTCAAACTAGCCTAAGAACAACTTTATCCATGCAATCAGAATGTGCAGCCTAATCCAATGGTCACCACCGTTAAGTCTTTTCCATCCTCAGGATAGTCAAATCCTTCTCCTCCAAGCCTCAAACCCCTGCTCCGAGCTAGACGGGCAACTTTGTCCCATGCGGGGAGCTCTGCATAGGAGCACGCCCGTAGCCGGGTGCAGTGACTACCAGTGGGCTGGGTGGCCTGTCCAATTGGATGGCGGCTCAGCGCCCAGGTAACTCACTAGGGTGCCCGCCTAGACCAATGTCTCTTCCTAATTCTTACTATCCTTCCGGCTCTGAAATGGTCTCGTCAGACCGAAAGGGCCTAGCCCCCCCCCTAAAAAACATACCTACAAAATAATCGAAGGGCTCAAAATTAGGCTACAACTTGTTTCCATTACAATGATTATTATAAGTGGACATTTCTTCAATTCGAATCAAAACCACTTACGATTCAAATTATTACTGATCCCCTGACCCCTATAACATATCAGATTTATGCATTCTAGATTATTTTTCGGGAAGCCTACGCCAATGATCTTCCTCGTGTCCAACCAGGGTTGGCACGCGTCTTGTACCGTGACGGGCAGCTCGCGGCGGCGGCGGCGGCGGCGGTCCGTCCCTCACAGCACCGCCAAACGGTCGCCGTTTATTGCTCCGACGGCGGCAGTTCATTTGTCACACATGGAACGGAAGAAGAATGGTGTCCCTTTGAAATTGGTGATAAAAGTGGAACGAGCCGCTTCCCTCAATAAGGTGTGACGTACGGCGCGGCGGCCTGCATTCCTCGCGGCTCAGTCCTCGGCGACCTGCGCGGTGCGGCAGGCTTCCAGCGACCCCGGCGGTGAGATACACACTGCTCAGTGCACAGTCTATGGGACTCTGTTGGTACGACACCTATGACCTATGTTGCATAGGTAATTAGCTATCTAACACACAGTTTTGACACCAATAATTTTACCGACAGCTGAAATTAACTATCAAATAAATGCAACTTGGCTGATAAACTCATTTAGAAAATGCCTTCAGTTACAGTTTTATCCAAACGTTGCAAGACATCATTCATTATTCAATGTTGCTGGACCTAGAGCTACCACTTAACGAAATTAGAACAAGGACCGGACACTGTGGATGTCGAGGCAACAAATGGCCCATGACTGTGAGCGATCGGGGAAAGAGACCTCGGCAAAACTGGCATTGTGCGTATGCTAAGTTAGTTTCATTCGGAAAGGATAATTGGAATGTTGAAAGAAAGTAAAGTACTGGACAATAAGTCATAATACTTCTTCTTATGAGGGTAACTTAATCACTTTTGCTCGTATGCCTCCTGAGTATTTTTGTTTATACTTTTGTAGAGAGTGGCAAAAATTTCGGCCATCATCAAGGAACGTCGAAAAAAATCACTTGCAGTTCAGTTTTGTATTGAAAATTTGCCTCAATAGAAGCCAAAACGTGTCATCAGTTACACACGAATTAAAAAATGTGTAGATTCTGGAAGATTAATCGAGCATAAAACAACTTAATTTGTTATTGCAGCTTCCATACTATAGTTCGTTTTTCTAAGCTCGACCCTCACTGTAAAAAAAAGATGTTCAAAAGATGTTTACAGTGAGGGTCGAGCCTAAAAAATAACTATAACAAGACATCCACGCATGATAACTGAATTGGAAGATTGCCTGCATCCCACTGACCCCGGGCACTGACCACTGATCTCCAGTCCGTCCCTGACTCGGGGTCGTCGAGAACAGGTCGGCCGCGCCCGACCGACGCACGACATGGACATGGCCTGACACCGTGATCCATTTGGCCAGTCGTAAATAACTCGCCCTGAAGCTGATTCGAACGGCCGGAGATTCATTATGGCCACGAGCAGAGCCTGTGCGGAATTAATTACGGTGTAGGCTGGTTCCGAGCGCGGGTCAACCTGCCGATACTAGGGAGGATTCGATTCGATAGCCACATCCGGGATGCAGGGCTCTGTGGCGTGGGAAAAGAGGCGATTATTATTGTGCCGCACGTGCCATGGTACCGGGAAGCTGACACTTACCCCACCTGGATCGCGTCTTCTGAACACATGGAGTACTGGGAACACTCAATTGGGTGCAAGTACCCGGAAAATCCCTCGGCACACTACAGGGCGGAAATAAAAGAAAAATCGCGAGATTTTATCCTGGCTATCTCATGGTTAGAGACTGGAGACATGGTTAGTAGAGCCTATAGTGATTTCACTCCCATATTCATTTAGTTCACCGCGTAATAAGAAATGCATCAAGTGTTTCCACATTACTGACGATGAACCTTACAATGAGCACCCATTGCAACAACTTTACACGTTGTATTTTACCCTACCGTGCGCCAATGACCTTATTCCGCTAATTTCTTGACACTCAGCCTTCAGCCTTTTCTGAGCCGATTCTTTCTCAGCATTTTGTCGTGCGTCACCGGAGACCACGAAATTCACAGAGCTGTTGAATAGAACCGCCCGCGGGGAGTTGCACGAGTGGTTTTCTATGTCAGCGTCGATTTAGATCTGTGAGGGAAAGGCGAGCTTTCACGGCAGAGAATGCGAGTGTAGCTGCCAGACGTTGCAAACAGTTTTAGCTTCTAGATAATTTTCTAACACATCGGATAGTGTTTCAGGAAACAAATTCAAGAAACTATTCTGCTATTTTTCCCCATTCAGTTTACCATTCTAACGAAAGGTGTTTCCCTGCATGTGTCGAACAGCCTGAAGGATGTTGCCAAAATGACCTCCCCCTCCACACACACACACACACACCGAACATTTGCACCAGGTCAAATGTCAAGTGCCAATGTTATGTGCCAACGTCGTTGCAATCGCCTTGCAATACAGCTCAGTTCCACTTCTGAATGCCCTGACTGCGAAAACTCGCAAACTCTTACCGGTCTCTGGCCAATAAAACCATTTCGACTGGCACCCTAGGTGCCTACAAATTCCAATGCAGTGAAAACAAAGCCCTTTATCAAGCGAATGGTGCTTTCCGGAGTTGAATTCGTACATGTTGACCTGGGTATAATTCATACCCCGTGTAGTAACGCCAAAGGCGGGCCAGATCAAAACAACGTTAGATGAACGGCAAACGGCTGCCGGTGGGCGGGGAACCGCATCCAGGGCCGGTCTCGAGAGGGACCAACGCACAAATATGCATGAGCAATGAATAGGAAACACATTCTGCAGCGGGGCACGGGCGGTTAGAAAAGCTCCGATAGGCGTTATCACAAGTGCATTCGCGGCCATTGGGGCGACGTAAGAAAAGAAGAAAACAACTGGCCCCAAGAACTTTAAATTATCAGTTAGCATGCACCTTTTCCTTGATCTTTAGAGAATATACCATTAATTGCTAGAGAAAATTGCATTTAAAATCTTCCATCTATGCTTTTTTTCGTTGTTTGCACAATATGCTCTTTTACTAAGCTAGAAACACTAATTAGAAATAGTTCCCGCATCATCAAGAACAATAGGGAAGGCTTGAAGTGAATACAATAATCTAAACGGTTTTGTAATCTATGTGAAGACACTTCTAAAATTGCCTGTAGAAATATTGAAGGCAAAAGTTCAACTTTTTCACAAGACGGATGTCTATAAACCCATTCAACGTGTGACAACTCAGCCGGTATTTCGTCGCCTACAGCCCAGCTTTCCCTAGTGACCGATAGAGGCGCTGCTATCGATGTCCGCCCGTGCCGCCTAACGCGTCTGTGTTAACCCTAGAACGCCTAGGGGGGGTTGTATCAACCCCCCCCCCCCCTGAGGTTTTTTGAAGTGCACGCTAAACGGCTTGTCGTAGCGGGCTGAAATTTTCAATACCCTCTGGGGCAACCTTTGCGCATCTTTTGCCGAAAAAAATTGATCGGGTCATGTCAGGTCACGGAGTTATGACGTCATAAGAGGTACAGCCTCCGGCCGGATTTTCACAAACTGAGTGCCAACGCCCGAGGTTTCCTGCCGGTGGTACGGACATCGGTTGATGGATCGTGATGAAACTTCCCATGCATGTTGGGGCAAGTATTGGCTATCATATGGTATAAGAAATTTGACCGGGTCAGGTCAGGTCACGGAGCTATGACGTCACAAGAGGAACAGCGTCCGGTACTATTTTTGAAAAGCGCCCGAACCACTATTTTGCTAATTCTTGTCACCTCAATGGGAATATGCAGCAATATTAGCTTCTATAGGGAGCAAATGGACCTCCCAAATCCAAAAATACAATCAGATTTCAAAAATTTAAATTTTGATTTTTCGAATTTCTGCCGCCGACTGTGACCTTGCCGACTTCCGGCGCTCCCAACGCGCCATTTTTAGAGCTAGGGAAACGAAATACATACCAAACGATAGAGAATTGATCAAGGAACACGATAGTGAAGGTTTCAAGTCGATATCTCCCACTGTTTTGCCGCAATCGCCGCCGAAAGTTGAAAAAAGTCTATTTTT